TCGTGAAACGCCGCCTCCTCCCGGTCCAGCGCCTTCGCCAGCACCAGCTCGGGACGCTGATCGCCGCCGGGGCCCGCCTGCACGGCCAGCGAGAAGTGCTCGTCACCGCTCAGCTCGTAGTTCTGCAGAGAATTTCGGCCTGAGTCCGGGTCGTGAGCTTCGGCCAAGGGAAACCGCGTCCCCGGGGCTGTCGTCTCGCTCATTCTCAGTTCAATTTGTGCCTTTCGGAAGCTCGGAGCGTTGTCGTTAATATCCGTGATTTCCACTTGGATTCCGTAAACCTGCATGTCGCTCTCCACAATCAGCTCACAGCGCAGCACGCATTGCTGCACGCTCTCGCACAGCTGCTCTCTGTCSATCCTCTCCGCCGTCACTAAATGCCCCGTCTTCCCGTGCAGAGCAAAATATTGCGTGCTACCTTCGGATACAATACGGACGCCGCGGTCGCTGAGCGCCGGCAGCTGCAGCCCCCGGTCCTTGGCTACGTCGCCCACGAACGAGCCCTTGGGCATCTCCTCGGGCACCGAGTAGCGCAGCTGCCCCCACACCGCCTCCCATGCCGTGAGCAGAACGCACCAGAGCAGAGCTCGCTGCCGCCGGCCCCAGCGCCTCCCCACTGCCCACATTGCCGCGGCACCGCCGGCTCCGAAACAGCGCTCGCTGCTCCTCCCCGACTATTGACGCCGACTCGCCTTTCCCGGCTGCTGGCGGCAGTCTCTCCGCCTCGCTGCAGAACGCTGTCGTATCGCGGGGTCCGCTAGTGGATCGCCCGTCCGCCGAGCAACCGAGCCGGGCCGCAGCGGGCGGGGCTGCAGCGCTCCGATCTTCCTCTCGCTTCTCTCGGTCAACAGCGGCGCCCGCAGCCTCCTCCCGGCACTGCAGGCACCGAGCGCTGCCGAGCGATGCCAGTCCGGCTTTGCCCACGGACGGCTGCAGAGGGTGACACACACTGACTGAGTCTTGAGGTCCAGTGCGGAGATGACCTCTTCGCTTTTCTCCAGTAGATCTCTTCTTTGATCCTTTAGCTGATCGCGGCCAGACATAGATTAGAGAATTCCTGTGATTCTACTATATTTACTGCATCAGAAAATATTTTTTTAAATCCTGGCTTACGATAAAGTTATTTTAATATGACTTTAAGAATATTAATACTCTTAACTCATTTGTTCACACCCCCAATTCTGAAACGAATTGCGTAGCTACTTCACTGTCTTGCATCATTTACGTTTTCTCTGTACTAACCAAAACGATGTCACACTGGAACATCATCCATCATATTCGTGTACCAAACCCCCAAAATACCAGAATGCCGTGATGACGATCCCCGCTCAGAACGATTATTTCTGAGGGACTGAAATTCCTTACGGTCTTTGTATGTTTTCACCTGCACATCATCAGATGCTTTCAATCAACCTGTATTGTTTTGCTTCTCCGAACACCATTTTCAAAATGTTCATTAGAATCAGGAATACTACAGTGCGTGATTACACACATTGCACCATTACACAGTGTTTTCTTAGAGTGCAGCCGCAACCATGCACAGCAACTCAGTGAGCCATTCCAAAATAAGCCCAAAACTCAGCATAAAACAAATGTCTCTTTGGGACAAGATGTATACAAAGAGAAAACAGGCTCTGAGGTGCAAAACAGAGCTTTTTGCTTTTGGGGATCCCATTCTACGGCTGAGCTGCAGCTAAATAATGACAAAAGGAATCCATCCCGTAGAGTAATAACCATTTTCTCGCAGCCTCAAAACATAGGAAGGCAGATGGAAGAGGAACAATTTGTAAATTCCTCTTCACGGATCCATCTGCACTCCCTTCGGGAGTCCAGCATCTCAAGAGCATTAACTAATAGGGTTTTTGCCTCACTATAAACCAGGTCCAAGTACATCGCGTCCAGAAAGGCAGATCAGAAAGCCTTTCATTGTATGGAATAAGGCAACTCATAAAAATTCAGACAGCATTCATAGACAGATATTCTCAGCTGAACCCAAATGTGTTACGAACCGAACGACGACCTTCAAAACACTTCTACTATCTAATCAGCAGAAGTAGAACGGCAACAATCTCCTCACTGAGCCTACACCCGGGAATTTTACTCTTTTTTTTTTTT